ACTGGTCCAGAATACAATGGTGCAGGCTGTGATAGACATGCCTCAATATGCCCATGTAAAGCTTCAGCTTCATGAGCTACACTGGTTGCCAGTTTTCTTTGGTGCGATTCAAGTGCTAAAGGGTCTTATTGCCAGTCTCCTACAGTATCTGCCCAGCCCATTTGATTCTGCAGGGTTGGTGTGTTCCAGGTTCCTTTGGTTAATGTCATTTATTGGGATTTCAAAAGGGTGTCTTCCACTGGTGGGTTCCTACCGGTTTGGACCGGTTTGGCCAAACTAGTAGTGATTTGTCGGCCTGGGTCACTGGAACCGGCAGCGACCCAGGCTTGCGATGCCTCCAAACCAGTTCTCTGGGTGGCGCCTACAGCAGCACCATCTTGGTTTTTTCCTTCTGTGCATGCGCAGAGCAATTTTTATTGCAATACACATGTGCACCTTGTGCATCAAGCATGTGCATGCATCAAGTGTACACGCAGCACAACCACGAGCGAATCGGCAGTAGTGACTGCCAGAACCCACCCGTTGTCTTCTCAGTAGCAGCACCTGCCCTCTGGAATGAGGCTCCTTCAGAGATCCAGGTGGCCCCTACTCTGCCGTTGTTTAGAAGAGCCATGAAGATCTGGCTCTTCATCCAATCCTTTGGCGTGGGAGAGTGTGACCCCTTGCTAATGAAGCTTGCCATCTTTTATCCTTTCTATGTTTTACTGATTTTATTGTAATTTCTTTGATTTTTGATCACTGAAAGTTGGGTGGCATATAAATTTAATATGTTGCTGCTGTTACTCTCCCTTGTGTCCATTTTTCTGAGGCTAAAGATCCCAAACTTTCCAGAAAGTTATTACAACCTCTTGAGCATTTACTTTTTTATTTCATATTTTTTGTAGGTCAGAAACCCAAAATATATCTCCACTCTACGGTATATCAAAGAAATGAGTACACCCCCTCACATTTTGTAAATATTTAAGTATATCTTTTTGTGACAATACTGAAGAAATGACACTTTGCTACAATATAAAGCAGTGAATATACAGCTTGTATAACAGTGTAAATATGTTGTCCACACAAAATAATGGAACACACAGCCATTAATGTCTAAACTGCTGGCAACAAAAGTGATAATGTCCAAATGGGGCCCAAGTAGCCCTTTCTCTCCCCAACAAATTTCCCAAAATGCCTTTAATGCACAAAGTCAGATATGCAGTTTCAAAGATGTTTCTTGATAATTGTAATCCACCTTGCCTTAAAAATCTTCAAACAGCTCCCTAATACTTCCATGCAGCCAAAACTCCAGTTGATGTGGAACCAAAATAAAAAAGCTTTCCAGGTTTTGTTTGTCTTTCACTATTTCCCTTGTTATTAATGTGTTTATCTCCAGTAATTCTTTGTCCAAGTTTATTCCCATAAAACACTAATATCATATCTTCTTTGACCAGTAGATGGCACCCCCGTTCTAAAACCCAACTGTAAATATCGTAAAACAGTGATGGTTAACAAAAGCGTGGTTTTGTGTGTACGTGTTAGTACGTGTGCCAGCACAGCACAGCACAGCACCAAAACCCGGAAGAGAGCAGCTGAACAGCTGCACTTCTGGGTTCTACTGCACACATGCGCATGTCGCCAGCTGCTCTCTTCTGGGTTCCAACATGTGCATGCGCGAAGACCAGCTGGCTGGTGCATATGTGTGTGATGGAACCCGGAAGTGCAACTGGCAACAGTACATGTGCCCATAGAGGGCTCTGTGGGGGTAGGAAAAACAAAAAGCAAAATTCCCTTCTTTAGACAAATTCTTCCAATAATCAAACAATATTATCCACAAATTAAATCCTTTTTTACACTAACAGTCCCAGTCGAGTGTTTCTTTATTTTAAAGCTTCACAATCTTCCCTTAATAGTTTGTTTCACTTTTAGATCTGTGTTCTTTCTCCATGTAATAAATCGTCGCTTTCTTGACGTTTTGAAGAATTTTTTTTTTTTAGCATGCTTTTATTTGGTTTTAAGTCTCTAATATAGAAGTTGAAACTCATCTCACCCAGTTTCAATCCACTGACCACAACTTGCTCCAGCACATATTCTTCTTATCCCAGTTTTCACAGCGTCGGCCTTGCCAAAGTCAGGAGAGTTTTCTTTGGATCAAAGAAGGAAATTGCTGTTTCCTCGTGATCTGCAAAGCATCCCTCCTTTCTTCACCACCACTCCAGGGTGGCTTTGGCCCCGTAGGGTCTCCTGGCAAGGAGGTATCGGCTGCATTTCATGAAGCCCCCATGAAGCTCCATTATCCCATATCCTTCTTACTGTGATGCCAACTGGTCAATTGCTCACTACAGTTATAAACATGATGGTTGTAAAGTGGATCTATTGTGTGTTCAGATCTGATTTTATGATATTTAATGCAATTGTAAAATGAATACAAAGGTCATTAAGTGAATTCCATTGCTGCTTAAGTGAACCAATTGTTCACAGTGGACTGTTTTGCCAAAAACTGGAAGTAAACACCAATTTTCAACAAAATGTTGTAAACTGTGGTCAAACGACCATGGAACATTGCAAATGGCCACAAATGTGGACCAGTTGTTGAATAGCTAAAGCATGCTCACATAACTGTGCGGGAGCGGGGAGATGGCCATTGGAACTGGCTTGTAAGTTGTAAATAACCCATTTGGGGGCTCCATCAGAACTTTGAATGGTTGCTAAGCAAACTATCATAAGTCAAGAATCACTTGAATAATAAAGGATTTCTGAATATATAAATGATCTTGGGAACACGAATTGTTGGCTCTCTTATCTTTCTTACTGAAGTTGTCCAGAAGAATTTTACATCATACAATTGTTGGTGGATTGCTAACTGGGCTACTGGGGTTCAGCTAACTGTTAAGAAAGGAAACAAAACAGCCACAGGGAAAGAAAGAGAGTTACACTAATAGAAAAGTGTGTTTATTGTCTTTAAACTTCCAAATGCAGAATACGTATTAGGAAATCTTGAAGATGCAGCAAATCAATGATGCCTGCCAATGAGGAGGAAAAGGCAACATAGTGTATGGCTAAGACAGCTGAAATAGGCTATGATTCCAGAATGGCAGCATTTTCCAAATTCCTGCATCTCTCCTTTAAGAGTGAATACATATAAAAACCCATTATGGGGCTGGATTTTAAACCAATGATTCCTGAGTAGCATATTAAATTCCTTGAGAGCCTCTGAATACAAATATTCCATCCTTATATCTCACTGGATTTTTCCAAATGCAAATTACATTTCAGACAAGGTTATTGTCAAAAATGTGCTCTGGAAAGAAGTAGTCTGAATGTATTCTGGCCTGAAGAATGCAATTACAGAGATAGGAAAAGCTGCATATACATTATTATGAACATGGATGCTACTGTATCTAAATCACATATGGTCAACTGAAAGAAACCTGGATTCAGAGCGGAGGTAGCTAAGCGTGTACAATGGCAGCCTACTGCTTTAACTGACTTGAGATTCTAGTGCCTCTAGTAACATAATCTACCAATGAGGAGGCGGAAATCAATATATTTGTTAGGCAGCAACCTCCTCTAGAGGCTAACATTTTGAAGAGCTTCAATGTATGAGAAAAGCCCTTCTATTTCTGCAGTCTTCAATATCATAATCTTATTTGATCCAAATTATGTAATCCCCAAACTCCCTGATTCCACCCAGTATCACTCATTTCTCATCTCATTCCCCACAGCTTCACTATTCACAGAAAAATAAATCTGGGCCTGTGATCTGAGGTTCTATGTCTTTCATATGCTCCTGGTGGAAGTGATGGATTCATGGACCTCTCATTCTCACATGCATCCTTAAGACTCATCTCCCATAATGGCCCCAAACTACTTTCTCACAAGCCAATTTTGCCTGGATTTTGGCATAATCCGGGTTTTTAACATATTCCCAGTTTTGATACTTCTGGGAGACAAACTGCTCCCACTTCCTCCCACATTTAAACTCTCCAAAATGCTGCAAGAAATGGCATTTTGAGAGCATTTTCCTTTCATTTCCATTCTTCACCTTCCTCCAAAAGGAAGTATTTAAAATGAGCCAAAAGTAGTCTTAAAAGTGGGGGTTTCAACATTTAGGGATAGGGATAGATGAGTTAAGGGCCTTCCAATCCCCCCCTCTCTGCCTAAAAAAGGCATAAAACCACAGACCGCAAATTCACTCCATCATTTTCTATCATAGGACAGACATATAATTTAAAAAATCATGAGGCAGAGATGCAATCATCTATCATTTCAAATATTGTCCATCCCTGATTAGTTCCAGTACCACAAAATCTGAGGCATCCAAATTTCTTTTCCTCCACTTGCAGCTAGTTGGAATCCAACTCTAAATGTTCTGCCTTATAGGAACTTAACACAAAATCTAACTTTCCTTTTACCATCCAGCTTCAGCAGGAAGCGCTCCTAGTTCTTAGCTGATGCACTAAATATATAAATATTCCCTTTAGGAGTCTCTTTACTCCTAAACCTACTATGAATAAAATAATATTTTACCCAATTGGTCACTGTTTGACTTCATGCTTGTCTGGAAGAGTGTAATACAGTTTCAGAAATGTGTTCATAAAAGCAGAGCAGAAGTTAGCCAATGCAAACAGACTTTAGTATTTATCTTAGCCTCTTTGAGAATTATCAATGGTCAGAAGCCCCACTTGATATAAAAAAAACTATACATTCTATGAGAACCACCCCTATCATAGTCATACTCTTGAATCCAAAGTAAAATGGTTCCAAATCTCTCTGTCTATTTACTCAACCTAGGAGTGTTGTTCAGGCCCAGTAGCATACCAAGGGGAAATTTTGTTCAAATTTTCTTTAAGTTTCTGAAAGACTGGAAACAAAAATGTAAACCAATTCTACTAGGGGACACCAAAACCCTGAACCCTAACGGATGTGATTAAAGACATTAATCTTTCACTTTCTATTGCTCAATAAATAGGACAGCTGTTGAACTGTCCTTGGTAAGAATAAAATTAAAAAAATAGAAGTGACCCCACATTATAAAGAAAGAATATAAGTTCGTTTAGCTGCCAGTGGAAAAGAGCAAAGAGTTTCAACAATGCAGTAAAACCAAAAAATAAATAAGCAATTGTTTGAAATCATCCCAGTTCCTTCTCCGGAAGTCTTCTGCTCTCCCTGGCCTGAAATCAAGCATAGTTCCTCAAGTCCCCTGGGTTATGCTCAGCCATCTGTGGCCAAAATGATGGAAGCCCCAAAAACCCCAACGTTTTGGCCAATCAACTTCATTTGATTCCAGAATTCAACTCTGCGAGAATCGTGCCAGAAACCAAGATTGCCATCAATGAAGAGGATGACCAGAGGAAGAATTACCGACAGGATTTGAGCAGCTGTGGTGATGTAATAACCGGATAGAAAGGACAGAGCAAGGACGCCGTAGAGAACAAAGAGAAGCTGTAGGAGGATCTCCCCACCCAGGATACCACCAAGATAGGCCAGGCGATCTTCTTTGCTGTGCTGAAGAGAGTAGGCCTGAAAAGAATCAATGGGAATGTTGGTTTAGGAGTAATCTTTAGCCTAACACTTCTATAAGGTGTATGCCTATTGGGAGATGGATATAAACTTCCATGCAATTTCTATTTCTCCAATTGTGGCTGTTAGGAAATATACACTGGATTTATTAAACTGCAAGGGGGACATGAATGTATCTTTTTATTGTTTGCATCAGATTGCTTTTTTCAGGCTCAGACCTATTCATGGTTTTCTTTGGCTTTTCTCCCATAGTTGGTTGACTACATTTTTCAAGGTATACACTAGATCCTTCTCAGTTTCAACTAAAGACAATTTTGGATAGAAACAACAGAAACAAGTTTGGAAATGAATTATTCTTTATTTAGTTATTTATAATTTTGGAAATTAATTATTTAATCCTTTACTCTTAGCAGCTTATTTATTCTCATCCTAGAATGTAGGATCTCAAAAAATGGGAGGAGATTCCTAACTTCCCATCCAAAAGTTTCCAACAGAAATCCAATACCCCTCGCTCATCTATTTCCTCATCCTCTGCCCTTTTGGCTGCCCTGCATTCTGCTACCCTGCACCCCTCTACCCGATTCCTCCCACTGCTGACGAGATAACCAGCTAAGGCACCTACTGGCCCTTCACAACACTTTGCACCTTGGGCTCCACACACACCCATCCCCAGGTAACCTTAAAATAGAAAGAGCTCAAAGGGACCTTGTAGGTCTTCTAGCCTAGCCCCCTGTTCAAGCAGGAGAATCTCAGATAACTTCAGATAAGTCCCTTTCTAGGCTCTTAAAAACAAAAACAAAAAAAGACATTCGCAGTTCCCCCTGCTATTAAGTCTATACAACAGCTTTATGCGACCTCCATGGGAAAAATCAGCTGGGGAGGCAGCAGATGACGACAGAAGGCAGGGCAGCCAAAAAGGCAGATATGCAGGGGAAGGAAGGGTGGAATAGTTCGGATTGAAGCAAGTCAAACTCCCATCTGCCAAAGGGAGTTTACCAGGCACAGTGGGGAGGGGGCAGCAGGACACAGTTGCAATTTGTGGAGGGCAGAAGCATGGGGAACTTGCCAACAGCAGTGCAATCATCATCTAATAGACGCAACTGGGACTTATCAGAATTGGCATTGCTAAGCAGGCATCTAGTGCCTGCTTCATTTAGTGATGGAAGTTCTGTTGTCAATAAGGGTCACTAAACAAGGACCACCCATATAGAAATAATGCTCCCTGTTTATGTAACACAAAGCTTGGTGGTTCTGTATGAAGTTTGTAGAATTCTGGGTGCTCTGAGCTTAGTTATTGGCTAGCAGATGTTTTATTTATTTATTTAGCATATGACAAATACATGGACTTATAGTTGTTTATTCGTAGGGAGCCAGGAGTTCTACAAGGATGTCTGGCTGCCAACTGTCGTTAACTGCTAATTCTTTACTGTAGTCTGGCTGCCACTTGTTGCTAGTCATTTGGTTCACAGTGCTGCGCTATCCAAGTTGCACCACCAGGAGGGGAACTAGCATCACACCACAGATGTTTTATTACTTGCACTGATGGTATTATTTAATTCGAAATAAAATATATGCAAATAAACAATCAAGCTCAGAGAATGCCAAAAACTCCACACTTGCACTTTGATAGCATTTGCAGAACCTTAAAATTATATTTTTAAGAAATAAACGTAAGATCTTATCCTCTGTGTGCATTTACACATGAGCACTTATGTGACAGTTCGCCATCTGCAAGGACTGCTGATTTCTGATCTGATCCCTGATTTATGGTGCACGCAATATGTCCACTATCTGTCTCATTATTATTTTTTAATCCTGTAGCAGAAAACTAAGTAAAAGAGGATGGAAAAGAAAGAGGTCGATTCAGACCTTTTTCATGTACATACCACACAAATGAGGTAGATTCCAATGAAAACTTGCCCAGTAGACTGCAATGATCTGTTCCGTGGTTTCTGGCGGTAGATTTCACCAGCGCCACTTGCCAAGATCAGAAATCCACCTATTATGGCTATTGTTCGGGAATACATTCTCACCTGTGTCATGCAAAGTAAACAAAATGTGCTAATTAATAAAAACAGGAATGCCCGTTTTTTATTACTCCCCCCAATACTATATATTTTTCATGTTGAACTCAATATCTATATATCAACTTCTGAAGAAATACTGTAACATCTGATTTTGTACTGATAATTTTCTTTGAGAGATGAAACGTGGCTGCCTAAATATGGGCACACAAATTGTAGGTTATATATTTCTTAGCCCTTCTTTTCACAGCACAGGGATAATTTTCCATTAACCATACTTCATTATGTTCAACCAAAAATATACCTATCAGGTTTAAATATATGAGGATTTGAATATAAAGGGAAATGACAATTAACAAAAAGTGTGAACTAGTTCTTTAGAACTAAATTTAGGCATATTACAGGTTTACAGTTCTTCATCTTTATATCTGATAATGGAAGACACCATATACAAAATAATTATGAAACTGAAAGCAATTAATTAATCAGCATTTAACTGGTCAATATAATCACAGCCAGTACTGTTTCTATAGAGCCTCAGGGAAGGGAACAGTCTTACACATTTGTTTATTGGTTTAATTCAATTTGGGCACAACCTGACTCCAACTGCTTTGGATAGTTCACAAATAATAGAATAAAAACCACTAAAACAGCAAGATAGCATCTGGGGACAAAAATGAACAGAAAATAAAAGTAGCAAACAAGCTCAAGGGGCCCCACCTGTCTTACATCAAGGCCTAGGAGAACAGCCAGTCTTCAAGACTTTACAGAACACTAATAGGATGACAGCCACATGGTTTTCAGGCAGGGTCTCAGTCAAAAGGGCAGGCACGGCATCAGAAAAGGTACCCTTACTAAGTACTGACAGGTGAGGTTGTTTAAGAAGGGATGCAGAGCACACCAACTCTGCTAGCATGTACCAGGGAGGCGGAATCTATGGGAAACAGGGACTTTCATGTAACTTATTATATGTAGAGTATTTTGGTAATAACCAGCATCTTGATTCACACTAGGAAGCATACTGGCAACCAGTGCAGTTGGGGCAGCAGAGGTGTCACATGGACACATTGAGGCACATCCCTTACTGCCTGAACTGATCTATTCTGGACCAGCTGAAGATCATGTCTAGTTTAATGAAAAGAAGGACTAGGGGAGAGATGATAGCAGTGTTCCAATATCTCAGGGGTTGCCACAAAGAAGAGGGAGTCAAGCTATTCTCCAAGGCACCTGAGGGCAGAACAAGAAGCAATGGGTGGAAACTGATCAAGGAGAGAAGCAACTTAGAACTGAGGAGAAATTTCCTGACAGTTAGAACAATTAATCAGTGGAACAGCTTGCCTCCAGAAGTTGTGAATGCCCCAACTCTGGAAGTTTTTAAGAAAATGTTGGATAACCATTTGTCTGGAATGGTATAGGGTTTCCTGCCTAGGCAGGGGGGTTGGACTAGACGACCTCCAAGGTCCCTTCCAATTCTGCTATTGTATTGTATCAAACGATTTTCAAAGATAGCTTTATGTAAAGCCCACTGCAGTAGTTGAACCTTGAGGCTGCTGCCTGAAGGGCTTTGCTTCCCAACCTGGGAAAGAGTACAACTGGTGCATCAGAAGGAGCTGAGGAAGGGGCCACAGTTACTGCCTGCTTTTCAAGAAGTGTGAATCCAAGAAATCTCCAGATTGCACGTCCTCTTGAACAGGAAAGTTCTATCCCATCTGCTAAGAGTATGCACGGAAAGTCCTAGGATCTAAGATTATAATATCTCTAATATCCACAGACTTGGCAGGATTGTGTCATAGTCAGTTCCTCCCTATCCAGATATTAGGATTCAATAGGGGGAGACACCTAAGCCTCCAAATATTGTCAAAGTTGTATGTTTATACTTTTTCACTAACTGATGTAATACCTGGAGATGTTTTCACCTCTACAAAATGAAAAATTATTCCAGCATAAAATATATGCTATCCGTCTGTCTCTACCTAGCTATCTAGGTATCTATCAAATATTTAGAAACCGCCAATTTTGCTTACAGAGCAATTTAACTGCCGAGGTATATTTTAGAAGATCCTCTTTTGCTAACACTGAAAGATGCTACACGTGAAACAGAATTTAATCACAGGAAAAATGCCAATATCAACACCATCCAACTTGAGCCCAAAGTTAATTCTGCGATAAAGCAGATCTATGACCAGAATTCGAATGTCAAAAATAGAGCAGATAATTTTCTCACCTTCAGCCAGTCTGCATAATGTGCATAGCCACCAACATATGCTGCGTAGGTGCTGATAGACAACTGGAGAGCAGCCCCCAAAGCGAACCATCGTCGTTTCACACCAAAGGACATAAAGCTGGCACACAAAACTGCTGCACCCATATCAAAGTAGAGAAACGGAACAGGGATGTCTGGTTTCCTGTAAATGGGAAATAAGAGTAGAAAATTACTCCATGAAAACTGAAAGAAATGAACATGACACACAAGAGAGGGTAGTACACATGCAGATCTTGGCCTTAATTTCCAAAGAGTACAGCCCCAGTTAGAATTGACAACATCTCTGTACTTTTTTCTTAAAAGTTAAAAGAAATCCCTACCGCAATAGGCACTAAATCCTAAATATGTTTGAAAATTACAGTTAGTGTAATTTTACTGGAATTCAGCATTAAGCATTGGGGAGCACAGGCAGTTACAAAGGTTAAGAAATTCATTATTAAAAACCACTACTATGAAGCCTTTGAGACATGCTTTAAGAGAGAAAATAATGCTGTATCCATGAGCTGAACATTTCTGAGCCACATACCTCACTTTTCCTTTAAACAATTTTTTATTTTATTATCAACATTCTATCATTCTTTGCTTTCTTATCAATTGTATTTCATATTCCTCAATGAAATACTGATGACAGATACATATGTTTATCAGTATATTTGAAGAGCTACATGACTGTTCAAGCATGGCTCACATAGGCATGTAAACAAGTGCAGGTGTGACCACCTGTGGCAACCAGGGATCATCTCTAAGCAACCTGACATAATGGAAGTTCAAGAAACAAACTTCTGTTTTTCCCCTTCTGACCAGCAGATATCACAACTTACGGTATAAGAATTTACATTTTTTTTACTGCTTTGCATTTTACCTATTCCCAAAAGTTCTAGGCAGCCGAGTTACCAGTCTTTGTGAGTCAATCTGCAAGGCTACCATGAAAGACGGAATATTACAATGAGCAAGGCATTAATAAACTATTCAAAACAGCAGTTTATCCACCCACTCCCCCAAAAAGTTGATGGAAAATTTACTATAAATCTGAGAGAACAAAGTAGCCTTCAGATGACAGTTAAGAGATAACATTTAAGAACCATCATGATTTGGAGAGCCACTAAAGGTCCATTTATATTATTATATTTGGTCAGCCAGATGTGTAGATTAGATATGGCGTTTTGGTCCACCTATTGAGTTGTTCCCAAGGATCTAGGGTTGGACCTGTTGTTATTTAGTGTTGTGCTGTAGGTACTGTCACGAGATATAAGCTGATCCAAGTAATGCTGCCTTTGCAGTTGACTGATGGTGAACGAATGATGTTCAAATTGTGCTCCAGTTATTTTGCGATTGCACTCAAAGTCCCTCTTACTCTTGGTATTATCTTTGCTTTTTATATCACCTTCATCGTCATTGTTGTCATCAACATCATCACCACCACCACAATCATCATCATGCCCCATTCCTAATGGGCTAGATCAGGTACAATGAAATCAAAAGATAATAAAGCTAAATACAAATGGTTACAATAATATCAGTAATTATTTATACAATATTATGGGTGCGTAGTAAAACTCATATAACTATAGAACGTGTTCTGGAATGCAACTTGGTTACAAAATGCAAGGAAAGTGAAAGACTTTCCCAGCTTCATGAGAAAGGGTATTATATAATATAGCAGCTGTCACTGAGGTGGTTCTGACACTTGGTCACATCCAAATATTACTCAAGAAGAAAGACTGCAACAGAATTCCCTCATGGCAATCAGTCCAATTTTATCCAGTTGCTGCCTGATTTATGGCTGTCTCCAGCCTCACTTCCAAAACAACAGGCTCTCTATTGACCTAACAGAATGAAACTTAAACTCGGTGCTTACAATAATTTTAGAGGAAGCCAGCTGGATAAGGTTGTTTTAAATCAGTTTTCTTTAAAGTGTGCTCTGAGGAATTTAGAATAAAATAGAGATGGAAGGGACCTTGGAGATCTTCTAGTCCAGCCCCCTGCTCAAGCAGGAGAACCTATATAATCTCAGACAAATCTCTTCTTAAAAACCTCCAGTTATGAAGCTCCCACAATTTCTGAAGGCAAGCTGTTCTACTGGCTAATTGTCCTTACTGTTAGGAAGTTTCTCCTTAATTCCAGCGTCTCTTTTTTGATCAGTTTCCAACCATTATTTCTTGTCCTGCCCTCCCTCAAGATTTTCTCAGGAGTCTGCGAAATCAAATTCATTTGATAGCTTATGTTGAAAATATTAAAATCCCCTCAAACAATGGTGGGAAGCTGTAGCCCCAGCAACTGCATCAAGGTTAATTATTAATACTGCGAATATTGATATAAATATAACCCATGTTAACAAAAGTTCTTTTGGGGTCCTCCCAAAAAGGTAAGGAGAGTCCCGAGAGGAAAAATGTCTAAGAAATACTATTCTAAAACTTGTAATTGGCTCCATTTTCCTCCCCAGTCCTCAGATCCAATCATTGTCTCTGCTTGATCCACCAATGCCCATCCTGAGATCCCGCCACCATTTCCGGTTCCGTCCTGATCCCCTTTTATGCCAAGCATACATTCAGCTGTCATTTAACGATGCCCATTCTGTCCCTGTCCCCCAGGAGCTTCCATCCCCAACTCCTCCACCAAGGGGTCCTTCCCCCGCACCCGCAAAGTGAAAGCCCAAGCTACCCTCCCACTCCATTCATTCCCACGCACATCTCCTCCGCCCGCCGGAGCGTTACTTTATCTTTCCCGCACTTCTGTCCCACCACTTCTCCACGACAAAGATAATGCGGGACTCCCGGCTTCCCCGACCTTAAAAGAGTTTGCCTCCGGTTTCTAAATAGGCGGAGGCTGCTGGCATCGGTTGCTCTTTGCACACGCTCAGAAGCACAGTAATTTACAAGAAGATCTTAACTCACCGGCGAACCTCGGCGCGCTCGGCATTGAGGAGAAGGCCGCTGAGACAGTGCCAGAACGGGAAGCGAGTGAGCAGCACCGACCCGATCCGCATTAGCAGCCGCAGCACTCCGCGCCGCCTCCCGCTACCCGCCGCCATCTTGCGACAGGGCGGAATTACTGGCGTATCCCGTTCGTCCCAGAAGGTCCTCCTTGGTCCGTTAGAGCATCGCTCTAAAGTCCCACTACAAAACTTTCCCTACAGAAACTGCTGCCCTACTCCAAAGGTTCCCTTCTTCTTGTTCTAAACATTAAAAGTCGTTTGCTCAGATTTTGTGATTGCCACTCCACCTGTATTATTTAATCTGCTGCTTCTAGGCAATTTACACTTTATAAAAACAGAAATCCAACACAATAGTTCCGTGCTAGGGAAGCTGCCCCATTTTATTTCATACCAGAGTGCCTACCATCCCTGTCCTACCGTTCCCATTTATATGTACTTTTTAAATGTGTTTATGTATGAAATACATGTATGTGTGTATATATTATGTATGAAATGCATAAACACATTTTAAAAGTACATATAAATGGGAACGGTAAGACAGGGATGGTAGGCACTCTGGTGCGCTTATGCACGCCCTCTTAGGGACCTCTTAAGAAATGTGTAAGATGCACAGTAGACAGTTTAAGGTAAAAGCTATGGGGGTTAGAGGAACTAACAACAGGATCAGCTAGGGTGTTCCACATATTTACTACTGTACTGCTGAAATCATTTTTCCTGCAATCAGGATTAGAGCAGATTACATTTAGTTTGCATCTATTGATAGCCCTTGTGTTATTGCAGTTGAAGTAAAAGTAGTCATTAACAGGTAGGACGTTGTGGCAGATTATCTTGTGCACTAAGCTCAGGTCGGAACATAGATGGCATAGCTCAAGGTTATCCAGGCCTAAAATTTCAAGCCTGATGGTATAAGAAATTTTATTATGAGCAGAGGAGTTGAGTACTCTTCTTGTAAAATACCTCTGGACCCTCTCTAATGTTTTAGCGTCCAAAATGCAGTATGGGTTCCAGGCAGGTGGGCAGTATTCAAGTATAGGTCTGACAAAGGTTTTGTATGCCCAAGTTAGTAGCATAGCATTACCAGAGAGAAAACTACATAAAATAAGGTTGACAACTCTGAATGCCTTTTTGGCAATGATGTTACAGTGAGCTCTGGGGCTTATATCTTTTAAAATGAGTACTTCTAGGTCTTTGACAGAGTGTGGGTCATCTTTTAAATCATTTCTGCCCAGCTTGTATTTGATGTTCTGATTTTTATTGCCAATGTATAGGACTGAGCATTTGTTAGCAGAGATTGGAATTGCCCATTGTTTGACTATTCAGATACATAATCTAGATCATTTTGTAGAGCAGCAGAATTGCCTGTGGTATTAAATAGTTTTACATCTTTGGCCAAGAGGACACAGCTGTTTATAATACGATCACAAAGGTTATTTATGTAAGGTAGAAAGAGTGTTGGTCCTAGAACACTACTTTGGGGAACACCACTGGTCAGGGTTAGATATAGTGTTTCCAATTTTGACTACTTGTTGCCTGTTTGATAGGAATGCAGCTATCCACTTGTGCAAAGAACCAGAAATGCCATAAGAACTTAGTTTTAACAGAGGTTTGTCATGTAGCACTGAATCAAAGGTTTTGCAGAAGTCTATGTAGATTGCGTCTATTGCTTTATTCTGGTAGAGTTGAGAGGTCCAAATGTTTTTACATGAGTTGCAGATTACAGGATAATTTTTTTCTGAAACCAAATTGCTAATTAGAGAGTAGGTTGTTTGTCTCTTAAGTGGAGGGTGATGGATTGGTTTATGATGGATTCCATGACTTTATGTATGTTCACCACCTTGAGAAATTTATAATAATAATAAATAGGGAGAAGAGAACAGGAGGGATGGTTAACCTCAAATTGTGGGTGAACATCCTATAGAGATGTAATTAAGACATGGATTTTTCTTCAGATTTAAGACAAAAACAGATGATAGAGAGCCATGAAACACACTTCCCAAAACTATGCCTTTTCTATTGGCAAATATGGGTTGCTTACTTGCTCAGTTTGAGCAAATTTATATCAATAAATTGTGATTTTCAATTAACATAAAAGCAAGAATTAAGCATAAGTAATGAATTTTACTTGCAGGAAAATGTAACATTTCACTATCTTTGAGTTAGAATTTATTTCATTTATGTCTTACACTGAATATTCTGCTCTGTTGCCTAAGTAGATATCAAATTAATAGCACTAAAAAGTATGAGGGTTGCATAGAGCAGAGGTCCTCAAGCACTTTGGTCTCAGAAACTTTTTATAGTCTTAAAAATCAGGATCCCATGGAGCTTTGTTTAGGTGGATTATATCTATTGATAATTTATGAATTAAAACTTAGATATTTAAAAATATTTATTTGTCCTCATAGACCCCATGAAAGACTCTCTGAACTTCCAGGAGTTTGCAGACTAAACTTTGTAAACCATTGGTAGAGAAAAACTAATCATCACAAAATGGGCATCAAACTGTCCATTTTAATTCCAAGGACCAATTATTATATTGATGTCACAGCCTTCCAATTTTTTAATCTTCCAGGAATGCTGGAGTACAATTTCCATGTTTTCCAATCAGCAAGTAAATTGTTTGCATTGACAAGGAATTGGAAGAATCATAATCTGCCACATTTCAAGAGAAGAGTTAAATTTCATTCTCTTTTCCTTTCTTTAATTTGAGTTGATCAACTGTATTTATTTGGCATAAAGATGCTTCACTAATTTTAAGATACTGAACAGCAAAAGAAAAACAAGTCAAACTTTCAAAAATATAAAAAAAATGGGTTGATATTTTTATAATCAATTTAAGTCATATTTCAAGATTCCTCAAATTGAGTTCTTTGCTACCCACATCCATACACTAACTAATACATGTAAAAAATAATGTTAAAAGAACCGCTGTCACTCTAAGAAATCAATCTTCTCTGATTTTTTTTAATGGGGAAACAATCCACAATGCCAAATTCTAAGTTTTTAAACAAAGTTAAAGCCATTCCACAGCATCAGATGGGAATAAATATCACAAAATATTCCATATGGTACCCATTTGGGTTAATAAATGCATAAGCAGTAAATGAAAATTAAGGCCACCCATAGAAAGTAAAATGCAAAATCATGTAATAATTAATACTGTACACATTCCAGATCAATTCTGTAAATTACTTATTTGTTGGAAAAAATGTTTGCTATTTCCTGATACTACCCCAAATGAAATTATCTGATGGAACTATTCAAAATAAATGATAAAATTTCCAAAGACTCTGTATTTCTTCTTCCAATAAACAGATAAGAAAAGGAATTCAAAATGCTTCCAAGGAAGGCATCTGCATTATTTATATTGATTTATCTTACAAAAGCCAAAGAAAAGTCATGTAGTTAAGGATCAATGTCCACCACATATGCTTTCAAGGTCCTGTGGTGATTTAGGTTACTTTTTGTGGTAAACCAGAGGAGGAAAACCATCTTAAAAGTTCTAGGAATTTTCAGAACATCTGTTCAAGATCTGAGAAACTCAGAGGCAATCAACTCTCTGTCCTCAGGATTTCAAAACAGTCATAGGAATCTTTAAAAAAAAATAAGTTACAGAGAAGGTTGTAAATCTACTAAATTTATTATCCCAGCAAACTCTGGGTTCATTGAACTTGGTGTGCACACCAATTAACATGCAAGACAGAAATATCTTTAAAAGCTTTATTCTGCAGAAGAGGGCACTTGTGATTTAAGTTTCCAAAGGATTTGTTCTAAGGCAGTGGATTTTAAAAGGTTATAATCAGAAATATCATTAACAATTACAGTTTCATTGGCAAACATAGTTAAAATACATTCCAAAAGTGGTTGGCACCATTGGTCAAAAGGTGGACACTGTTGTTGCTATGGAAATATGAACTTCTGGGTGGACAGCCCATCCATTGCTAGCACAGGTAATCCCTGCCTCATTTCATTCTGAGGAAAATTTCTAAGGCTTTCTACAGTTCAAACATGTATTACTTGTAACTTTCTTTTGATAAGATATGCTGTTTTCATAAGAGTTGCTTTATTTTATATTCCTCTCTCCATTCCATCTAATTCAGAAGATCTCTAGAGCCCAGATACAAACCATACTAATGGAAGACTTAGCTAGACTTGGAGCTGTTGCAAATAATATCCTTCCTGATGAGGAAAGGGTGAAAAAGAGTTTAAATAACCCAAATAAATTGTCCACATAAATAATGGAAAGGAATTTTTAAACATGGCTAAAGCACATAAATGAGAAAGTTCTTTAAATGATTGTATTGTTGGCTGAAAATGTTTAATTGCCTCCTAAGCCTCGTTCCCCCCCCCCCCTATATAAGACAATTTAGTATCAACATCTTGCTTTTTATGTAATGGCAACTTGATACTGCAGTCATATTTATAATTAGCAGTCTTTGCTGAAATGAAATGTGTTTTTGTTTGCTTCAATGTACTAATTAGTGACTTCTTGGCGAATGCAAATAAATTGTTCTGAATTCCAGCAAGACAAAAAAAAATCAAATATTAATTCTGTATACATTCTATGTCCTGTTGCTCTCAATAAGTGCTATAAAGCAAGTCTAAATTCCTATTAGCTATGAGAGAGAAGTAACAGATATAGGTCATAGGTTCGCCTCCAATTAAAAGATGTTCCCCTCCAATTAAAAATGAATGTATTGAATCAACGGCAGAAACAATATAGATATTGTTTTTGCAGTTTAGGACTAATATAGTCCTAAATTCTAGGGCTTTCAGATCTTTGCAGGATATATGATGGGATGGAGAGAAGTCCACATGGAAATGTGGGGCTGATAGTTTTGAAAAATCAACCTCACTGCCACCTTTTTTTCAGTAACTAAATAACTCACCCCCCCCCCCAATCTTCCACACTTCCTGGAATTTTGTGAAACAAGGGTGTTAGTCCAGGCCATCTTTATTTGGAGGTCCAGTTGACACCTAAATGGAAAAATGATTTATATCCAAGAATATCCCGTCTTCCTGTGGTTTTCCCTGTCCCGGGGCTCCCATAAGAATATTAGTGTAGATAATAATTGGAGAGGAAATAATGTAGAATATAAAGTCTTTTCAAAATATATTGACTCTAACTCTATATGCTGCAAATTTGAAATAATTAAATTGAGCTTTAGTTCTAGTTCATAGATGACACAGAAATAAAGGAAAATTAAAAGCTAGAGTCGCTTCATGTACCATCAGGGCCATCAATTACTATAATTTAAAAACCTCATGAAAGCACGTTTTGTCTTTCAAAACCCTCCAAAATGATTATAACCTTGGTCTTTATGGCAGGGCCTAAACATACATAAACCCCATAGCATGGACAGAAATAATTGAAAATAAAATCAGATCTGAATATTCAGCTGCATGCACACGCATAAAAATAATCTAAAGTAAGTGAAGCACACTAAAAGTTGAGGGCATCATCTTGAATACTTACAAGAAATTTGACTGATGGTGGTTTTGGGGGGCAAAAATCCTGGAAATGTTCAGAGAGCCTACAACAACTTTTCACTTAAAATTCATCTCAAAGAAGGATAAGGGACAAGCTGCTGACCATATGGATATTTCTGAGAGAGAAAGAGAAAGCTCTAGTTTCTTGATAGAGACTGGAGTGCAGGCAGCAGGCAGAGAGCCTGCTTGATTACATGCACATAAACAGTAGTTCCGTACATAATCTTTCTAAATTTTACAATTATAAAAAGACATGATTTTTCCAACATTAATGATCAAATTCATTCATTCTACATTGTCATGAGATAGTTTGTTTAGTTTTGACTTTGCATTTCTTATGACCCCTGTCACTATGATTAGTAATTCACTCTCCACATATAGTTTATGCAAATCATGGTTAAATAAAGCATGGCTTAGCACATCGCACCAAGCATCAGATAAGCAAGAGGCATCAATATTAACATTGGAAGCCATCACACAAAGATGGAAGTGCCAGGATTGAAATGTAAATCAAATTCAAGAAAATAAATGTGTAAGCCTTACATGCCTCAAGAAAACCTAGAGGCATGTAAGGCTTACATACTTCTTTCTCAGTGGATACTCTGCATGAATTAATCATTAGACACAATAAGGCACAGTACCTAGGGCCTAAGTACAGGTTAAACTGCAGCAATTATTTTATTGTTCTTGCAGGACATTAAAAGTGTAATTCTTTGCCAACTCTTCTCTCTTGAGCACGTGGCATCACAATGGGTAAGCTTACTCTTTCTGTTGCATATGTCATTTATCCTCTGCAAAGAAGTCTACAATCCATCATCCAGCTGCCAAGAAATCATTTTGAGTTTGGAGTGTACATATTCCATCTGCCCCGGGCAAGGAAAAATCTTCCATTTAAAACCAGTTAGTTATTGTTGAACCAAGATATCCCTTAAATTAAAAACGCATATATACAAAGCATTTTGCAATCTTTATCTTATTTGTCCTCACAACATCCCTGTGAGGTAGGTTGCCCCTCCTTGAGAATTGCCTCACATTCATTCAAGGAGTGTAGGACTAAGGCAGGATTTGAACCCAAATCCCAACTTTGCTCTCAAAGTGGCAGACCCTGCTGCCTTTCTTCCAAGGCTTCTGACTTTGCTTCCAAGGACACATTCTATATTGATAACAGAGGGGGGGGGGAAAACCTCCCTTTTATCGACCCTGTAATCCCTTAATTCGGGATAGTCAGGATGGAGCAACTGGATGGAACTGAGCATTTACTGGCTGGATGCTCTTTTTGATGCCATGCAGAGTTCACAGCAGATTTTTTTTTTCTTTATGCCCTAGGAGAGAAATATCTGCCGCTCCCTAGGATTGAACTCTCAAACTTTGAGAAATATCTTTAGATATATATATTTATATATATATATATTTATTTATTTATGTATAAATATATACAGATACATACACGCACACATAACTCTCCCAGATGTGATTAGTCCATTTTGCTGTTGGCTAGTATGTGCAGCTTTTCCCATAAGGCTGGGCACCTCCCAGATCTGGCAGGTAGGCAGCATTTTCATCCAAGTGTGACAAAGGCACTGTGTCTTCCTCGCTGATATGCCACTCAAATTCAGCCTTCAGAGTTGGACGCTGATTGTCAGGAAAAGCAAGGGAGAACAGCACCTCAGGCTCACAGACAAACTTGTACACATAACGCTCACCAGCCACCTATGTCACAGAAAGGAGAAAAACACAAGCACTACAGCAGCTGTTCTGTTTTTGGCAAAGCCTCCCCCCCCCACCATCGTACACAGATGTCCTCAGAAGTGACAAGTGTCTTAGGTTGCTTCTTCGTTCAGCCTCTATTCTGCCATTTCCCAGAAGCTTAATTTGGCTTCATAGCAAACCAGGTGTTTTTCCAAAAGTGTGGCATAAGTCCCAGGAAGAAAATACTGGAAATGCACATTTAAATTATGTGGGTTTTTTTTAACTTTAACTTTATTTCTGCATTTTAAAATTCATTTTACGTGGCCTGTAAGCCATTCCAGTCAATGTTTTTCCCAATTCTGAGACACTGATTAAAACAGAAGAAAAGCATATAAACTATTTATGTTCCTAAAATAACATATAAAGACTGTGAACACACAGTCAATTCAATCAAAATCAAAATATGCGTGTATTGGAGGTTGGTAATCCAGTTGGCTTTATGCCTAGTATGTTGAAATACTAGGCATAAAGCCAACTGGATTATCACAGTCCAATCACACTTTCCCAGCCCTAGGAAGAAAGCAATGGCAAACCAGTTCTGAAATCTCACCAGGAAAACTGTAGCAACTTTTACAGGCAGTTCTAAGAATCAACATTGATTCAAAGGTGCGTGTGCGTGCACACACACACACACACACAAACAAACATTCAAAATATAATATAATATGGAGATCATAGCTTTGCTGTCAGCATTTGTAACAATTAAAGAAACAATCAAGATGAGAAGATGCTCAACCAGGGTTTTTTTAAATGTAGGTTTATAACCCTCGTGAAAAAGGTTTTTTTTAATGGAATAAAATCCAAGAGGATCAAGTGCTCAACAAATTTATTAAAACAAACACTCCAATATAAAAAAGGACAATGCTTCAGTGTATCTTCCTGTACCCTTGAAACAATTATTCTGTTTTGATTGAGTCCCAGTTCATGGTGCTGTATGAGACAGATCTCTTGACCTTCCTACACACGAAGACTTAGTCCTAGCCTGAGTATTACTAAAGTGTTAGAATTTTGCATTGCTGGTGGCCCTTCCCTTCAAATGTATGCCAACTTAGATTGTAAAATGTGCCATTCCCACTTTCTCTTGCATTTTTAATCCAATAACCAATGTTATTCTCTTGGCACAAAATATGTAGCCGTACCCAAAGATATTTAAATGAAGATCATATGTGTTCATAATGCCCCAACTAGAAATTGTTAATGAGAGATTAACAATTGAACTATGAACAATTCTGGCAGTTCATTGACCTTCCCAAATTTAAATGGCATATGCCAAGCATGCAAGCTGCAGACCAACCTTTTGCATAATGCCTTTTTCATAATAGTAACGAAGGGAACGACTCAACTTGTCATAATTCATAGCCGGACGATTCTTCTGAATGCCCCAAAGTCGTGCCACCTGCAGGACAAATTCAGAGTGAGATCACATTTACATGCAAAGAAACTGGGACCAAGTCTTGGAGAGACAAACCCAAAATTTCTATTCACATTCTGCCAATTTCTCTTAAAAATCCAAATGACAATTGCTAGACATTTCTGCACACATTTCTTCCAGTATATCCACTTTTATATACTTTCCCCAATATTAGCACTTTTATCTGTGGAGATTCTCAATTATCCAGGTCAGGTTGTCCCAAAGGTGTTTTTTTAAAAAAAAGGCAGCTGGATTTTCTTGGTATTTTCTTTGAAAACATTTCACTTCTCACCCAAGAAGCTTCTAGAAGCAAAAGGTTTTCAAAGAAAGTCCAGTAGCCTTTTAGAGGGGAAAAAAACTTCGGAATTAGCAGTTTTCATAAATAAACTTCTCCAATATAAGGTTTTTTTGGCTCTGTACTTTGAACTCATGTACTGTATAGCTGTGATGGCGAACCTATGGCACGCGTGCCAAAGGTGACACGTGGAACCATATTTGCTGGCGCGCCGGCCGTCAGCTCCAGCGCGCATGTGCATGCCAGCCAGCTGATTTTTCGCCCTTCCGGAGGGCTGGGGGAGGCTATTTTTGTCCTTCCCAGCTTCAGGAAAGCCTACAGAGGCTGGGAAGAGTGAAAAATGGTCCCAATGGCCCAACCAGAAGTTTGGATCCGTTTCCGGCTTCCGCAGGGCCTTCAGGAGCTGTGGAAAGCCGTTTTCATTCTCCCCAGGCTTCAGGAAAGCCTCCAGAGCCTGGGGAGGGGTTGCATGCACATTTGCGGGGGTGGGGGCGAGAGAAAAAGGTTTGCCATCACTGTTGTATAGACTTGAGCTGCAACTGAAGTAGCAACCTGAGGAAACTTAACATTAGTTTATAACTGGCTTCATGTTTGCTCAGAACATTTGCATTAAAGAGTTAAGTAAACAAATCTACTTTTTAGTTCAGAACACCCTCCTCTTTCTAACAACTGCATTTTTGTTGGGTTCTGAAGTTGATTTTGTTCAATTAGAAAATTAGATATGTGCAACCTTTTCTGAGCCTAAAGCCCATATGTGGCCATTGAGCTGATATTGCAAATAAACCTGTACTCTTTTTCCATCACAGTATAGTTTGACAATTTTAGAAGGACAGTGCCTGCCACGCTCAATATTCCAAGATCAGTTATGGCTTTAACTAGGTTCCTGTAATCCACAATCAATGAAGTGTAATATAAAATAGTTTTCAATTTAAAAAAAGTAACAGAAAATCTGACCTCTTCTGGTTCAATGAGTTTGAATTCCATTCCTCGACCCGTCCAGGCAATAAAATGGGAATTGCTTGGATCATCCAGCAAAGCCACCAGGAACTGCCAAAGCTGCAGCGACCCACGCCGTTGATAAGGTGGGCCCTCACGGTATCCTTCTTGCTTAATATCACCTATTAAGTGCAACATATACAGTACAATAAAAAGGAAGAAAGAAATTGATTTTTAAAAAACCCTGCATTTTCTGGCGAAAATTCACAAGGAGGACCAATGACATATCCTAAAATCAAACTTCTACATTTTGCTTCTCCTACAGGCAAAAAAACAAAGGGACTCTATTGTACCTACCAGATTTCTCCAGCCTTTTGCTCTCCAGGAATACTGAGATGACAATTCCCAGTGTTCCTAACAAACCTGGCCAGAGAATGGTTAGAATGGCAGTTGGACTTACCTGAACTGCATGTTTCAAGGAAAGGTGTGGGAGGAGTAACCATGGGTATTAACC